AGCAGCAAAAAGGATGTTGCAGGTTATAAGACTTGTGCCAGAAGGGATCTTCAGCCTAAGCACGACCCGGAGTTTATTGCCGTGAGATTCCTCCCCAGGTCCATCCTGGAAGACTCAAGCAGTCTTGTCAGCCTCACCACATCTTTGGTTTTTATGTCTAAACAGGGTGTTAGTCCTTGGTTACCCTGCCTGTGTTTGTAGCTGGCTGACAAGATAGTTCATGCCTAGCAGAGCAAGACAGTATCAGAGGGATGATGATTAGAGGACAGATAATGCAGATCAAGCTTTTTAAGACTTCTGTGGCTGAGGAGGAAAAAGGAGGAAAAGGAGTCAAGAAAATATGGATGTGAATCCAAGGCAACTTCAGCCCTTTCTTTCCTGCATTTGGGAACATTAATATAAAGAAATGCTTAGACAAAACTAAATTCCTCTCAGTAACCTAAAAAGGTGAAAACTTTTCAAGAACACTATATTTCATTCAACATTAAGACTAAATGTTTAAGAAAGGCAGTGCACTTGATAAAGGAACCCAAACTATCCTTTTTCTGCTTCTGATAAATGCCCTCAGAACACCGATGAGATTATTTGTCTGTCAGTGCACTCTCATTAAGCTCCCTCATTTCTTACCAAGGGAGGTAAGAAAGCCTCCTTACTAAGCCAGCACCTTTCTTACCTGTCTCAAGATGAACTCTCACAGCTCTTCCACCATGAGACTGGAGTTTGGGATACCATGGATCTGCATCCCAACCACCTACTGCCTCAGGATCCAGTTGGGTTTAAATTCCTCATTTTACACATCTGGACACTGGGAACAACTGCTCCCTCTTAAGAGCTGAAACAAAGAAGGATATTGAAAAATATATATGCTTTTATTCTCATGTAGGGGATTTCTTAAGATCAAGTCAAAGAGCTGAGCCAGTTTCCTTAGGGTTCCTTAGTCTTTGTGAAGCTCTGGGTGTAAAGTCTTCCTATTTTGGCCTTTATTAGTATTGGATGAGTTGGCATTGCACCTTGAACACCCAGATGGGATGTGAATACGTACACCAGGTAGGCAAAGGTAAGCTCAGGTAAGCTACCATCTTCTCATGGAGATGTGCTCACCACACCACGTGCTGACAGGAGGGATCCCACCTTCTTCTGTGCTGCTGTGAACAGGGCTCTTCTCTCATTCCTTGCCAGTTCCCCCACGCCCCAGGAAAAGAGGAGGGGGAATTTGTGCCTATAAATAGTGTGTGGAAAATCAAGGGCAAATCAATAGCCATCAGATGATAGAGTCTGCATCCCCACTGAAAAACAACACGAGTTGTGAACCACCCATCAACCATGCTGGCTTGTACAGGCTTGAATTTACCTCTGATGCATTTGGACATGGTAGAGAGAGTGCCCGAGTAGGAGCCCAACTATGGATTTAGCTGCTGGTGTAACTTTGCCTTGTGGACAGCCGTTCCTAGAATAAAATAAGTTAATTCTGGCATATGGGCCCAAATCCTCTCCTGGCTGGTGTGCACAGCACATGGGAGGGAGCAGCATGGCCATCACACCAGCCCACCCTGCTTTGGCAATCCCAGCCCGGAGGAGCGCTGGGACAGAGGTGGCACCCCAGTGGGCTGTCATGTTGCCAGCTGGCCAGAAGCAGGCACCAGCCTTCTGCCAAAGCTCTGGTTTTCAACCACTGCAACCCACAGCTTGCAGAAACAGCCTGGTTTAGAGGAAACCAAGACAATTCAACAGAAGACCACCTTTGCTGAAGACCACTGCTGTGAAGGAGTCCACTCAGGAAGGGCCAGAGGCCTCCAGTCAGCAGAGCCCATTGCAAACTGCTCTCCCTCCTCCTCTGCTGCCTCCTCGCGCTTACTCAATGCCGCCTGCAGCACAGCAAACACTGTTCTAGGTACTTCCAGTCCCATGATTGATGGCTTGCGACTGTCACATGAGGGGCTGTTACAACCCTCGGCATGAGCCAGGGGGACTATTTTTAGTAGGCAGGACAGAAAGGGAGGTAGAGCCTTCGGCTGGGTACACCACCGCCCTCTGTTCCTGACGGGTTGAGTCACTTTTTTTGGCACTCTCAGGAAAGCATTTGGCTAACAAACTCTGTTTGCTTTCCTCTTCAGAAAGGAGGTATCGGCAAGCAGCTCGCCCTGCGGTTTTGTCCTGGGGTGAGGAGCAGGGGGACCTCTCCTCACCAAGCCACCATCAGGGCATGGTTAGCCGGGGTGACATCCCCCAGAGCTGAGGCAGGGTCTTGCAAGAGAAGGCAGAGCTCCCTGAGGTCCACTGAAACCTACCGGGAAGCAACATAAGGGCTGCAAGGACCTGGGTGTAATCTGGGCACTGATGACAATTTAGTTTGGCCTCAGCCAGATCCGGTGCCAAATAACATTCGCGGTTTTACAGAAGCCGGAGCAAGTGGCTTTATGTTTTTATTGCCTTCTCTCCCCATAACTTTGGCTCTCGTTTCTAGGTCAAACTGCCACTTCGTGCAAAGGATTCTGGAGGCCTCCTGCAGCACACCACCACCATCATCCTGCTCCTCCTCCTCCTCTGCTTCCCCCCACCATAACACCAAGCACAGCTTGTGCTTGCCTTGGCGCACAGGAGGATGGGGAGAACATCACTCACCTTATTTCTGGCAGAAAATAGTTTTTGTGATCTACAATGGTTTTTATGCATGTGTAAACAGGAGCCATATCAGGTTATTGTTCTGTACATACTCACTAAGCCTTCCCCCCACATTAAATAAAAAACAAGCAAGGAATCACTTAAAAAGTGCCATTAGGATATAGAAGCCTTAACTTCTTAGCTTTGCCAAAAAAAAACCCCTCACCAACCCACAAGGTCAAAGTATAATGAAATAATTTGAATTGAAAAACTTGGGATCTGGATGGTCCCTTTGTGATGAGACGTGTAACACATTTACAAAAGCCATCAAAAACTGCAGGTTACAGTTTTATCAGCCCCTTTCGGAGCTTCCATTCCTCCTGCAGAGAAATTCCTTCACAGACACAGTCACCTCTAGGACTTTTTTCAGTAATCCCTCCCACCCCCAGCTTCATTCTCCACTCTCCTTCACAGTATGTGTGAGATGAATTGCTTTTCCCTACATTTACTGGAGAGCCTGCCTCAGTGCTGCAGTAAGAATAGCAAACTTGTTGCCTGCTGCCATTTCCTCTCTGCTAGAGGGCTATCACCCTCCAATTATAGCATTTTCTTTTCAGGGCTATCACCTCCAATTAAGAATCTACGAGTGATCAAGCGACACAGATTCAGTTTTGAGTAATTTATCTAGCAGAGGGGAAAAAAATTAATTGCTTTTTATATTTAATGACACTTCTTTGAAAACAAGCACTTCCTATCTCCTTTCAAATTGATCTTTCTTGCTGTGGTACGCTAGAGATCAGAGCTTGAAAAGATCCTTTTGAGACACTAAGGACACTGTTAGAAAAAAAAGCTGTTACCAAATTGGCTGTCAATATTTCGCACAAGTCAAATGACTACTACGAAGAGTCCGGGGAGTGCCTACCCTCGTATCAAACTTCAGCACAGTTTCAACAGCAAGAGTATTTGTATTTCAGCATTTGGCAGCTGCTCAGCAATCCAGAGAGAACCAGTCATTTCGCCAGAATTTGTCACAGATCAGTGCTGAAAGAAAAAGCAATCGAGTCATAGATAGCAGCGGATTTAAGACTGTAACCGTAACCTTTGATTACTAAATCACCCAGAACAGTTATTTCTCCAGAAATAGTCTGAGGTACATGCACATATTTATAACAGATTCATGTAGGACACACCAGCTATATTTTGTCAGCATTACCGATTTCCATACTAGAGGAAGAGCTCATAACACCAATCTTATTCTCACACCTATGCTTTAAGAAATCCGTTTCAGTTAGTCTGAAGTTAGTTGTGAAAATATACCCAGCCTTTGTGAACTACTTTGACAGCTCTATGACAGGCCAGAATTTATCCAAAATATATATCCAATCTATATTTTGAATTATGACTAGTAAGAGACTGGCACCTGCACATTTAATTAGGTAGGAATAAACTACTTCCATGCAGTCAAAGTTCACTCAAGAATGCAATGCAATGATATAATTAAACAGTTTGCAGATACTAAAGGTATTTTAATCAGGAGAGTTGTTTCTGTTCTGTACCTAATTTCCTTATAAGAGTTTTGAAAAGAAATCTGAACAAAAACAGTCTGAGAAGAACAATCTGAACTTGATTCTCCTCAAATTCTATCAAATAAGGGTGTAGGCTAGTGAGGGGGGCAGTTCACCTGCATTTTAACACCAAACTTAAGCCCATCTGCATAGACTCTGGTTTCTTTCTTTTCATGACAGATAGCAGCAACTATTTCTGGCTGTAGGAATAACACAGAGAAGAGCAAGTTATTGTGGAAGGAAAAGAATTTTTATTTTTTTTTTCATTCAGAGTTCACATCTTTAAGCAGTATTGTAACACATTCTGGGAAGCAGGCAGTTATTTTCCCTGGAAGTTTTCCCAATCTGTATTTACAAGACACAAAGCACGTACTTGTGTTGAGTTGCTTAGAACACAACCCACTGCTTCCCAGAACTTTAGACCAAAGGCCACAGTAAGTACTACTCTGCAACTGGTACACTCAATCCTATTGCTTTCGCTTCCCCTTCTTCCTTGTAATTTTATTTATTTTCTTTTTAAGAAAGATGTATTGCTACATCCAGTTTCCTTTTTTCATTATGGTCTTCAACAACTAATTTAAAAAAAACAAAAAACACCACACTGAGGAAAGGTTTCATATTTAATATCTAAATAAAAGGCTTCATAATTAATATCTAAATTAGATTGACCAAGATTTAATAATTCAGAGGGAGGTAAATGAAAAACTTTCTAACTGTTCAGCACATTAAGTTTATCTCGGTCACACTAATTGGAGAATGTTTTAGCTGGATTAAGGTCACAACAGTAACAGAGATAATGAGCCATCATTTTATATAAAGTAAACCAAACATTTGTCATCTTTCAAATATTTTATTTTAGTACTTTTAAATATGTTTTAATACAACAAAGATATAAAACAATATATTAATTCAATCTGAGTTTAGAATCAAAACAATATTTACTTATTTACAGTACTCACTTTAAACTTCACTGGCATACCTTCTAACCATTAGGTAATACTATTTTCTCGGTTGGAACAAAACTGAAGTCACTGTTCAGTGTGAAAAGTCATGTTTCTACATCCCTATTATGTTAAGTACCATGTACAATGCAGTTTGTGGTTTCTCACATTTGACAAATTTCTCCTATTTGACAAAACTGAATTGAAAGAGGAAAACTAAGTTACAGTTAGTCTTTCTAACTATGCAGTCACTAGACTAACAGGTCAGGTTATCGTGCTCCACATTTATCACCTCAAGGAATTACACACCTATTACAAACTGACTTTACAAATGTGCATGTCACTGAATTATGTACATAATACTCACTGTAAATTTCCTACGATACAAGCGGCAAATATGCAGGAAACTGCTATAGGAAGGTTCAGAGTTCACAATACTATTGTGTTGGAAGGGTTGTGAGGGGCTGCTTTTCTTCATGGAACGAAGACAACATCAGCAGGCTCACTCCAAAGGGCTTTTTTTCCCCCCCCCAGAAATACTGCTTCAATTAGAATAGAGACAATGTCAAATATACATCAGCAATAGTGATCTGTATGAATCATCAGTGGCCTACCAATTAACCCTGGGCTGATTAAGTCCACACATGCAAATTAACTCCGAGGGTAAGCTGGCTCCCTGCTAGGACTCCTGCCAGATACACTTCCGTCTTGACAAGACTATGATGGGCTTTGTAGTTACAGGTTAAGTTTTTATAAAAGTATCCTAGCTTATTCAAAAAACGCAGAAAAACCAATATTGTCTATAGATTACTACAAATTCTCCCCAGAATTCTCTCTTCAGCAGAAACTACATGGACAGGATGAAAAACTAGCATAGTCGTTATAGGTTACTTTTCTTATTCTCCGGGTCAACAATACCTACTTTTTTTTTTTCCTAAGACATCTGCTATTTCTTCAAACGTTAAGACTCAGCTCCACCATAGTTTTGGTGCTTGAAAAGCGAGTGCACTCCCGCACACCAGAAAACCCAGCTAAAAAATAAGGAACAAATGCCACTCTGAAGTACGCAAGCACTGCTTAAAAAAACAAAACACAAGATTGCAAAATACTTGTATTGATGTCTGAGTTCAACACTTCCCTCCCTCCGATACTCTTTTTGGCGCTACGTGCAACACAGTCATAGAGAAAAGAAGATTACAGGAACCTGTGCTTTTGTCCTCATTGAGGGGTTTCAATACTTCTAAATAACCTTATTTAACATGCTTGCATCAAAAACAACTTTTTTTTTTTTCAAATCATTTAACTGAGTTGCTTCTTATGGCAGCTAACTATCAAGAGTTTCTTATGATGCTTTTTTTTTTAAAATGTTTATTCTCTCAGAATCCAGTTAAGTAGTAATTTCTTTGAAATTCTACTGGAATTTACCACACACAGCTGCTACTTGGCCTTATCCAAGAAAACACTCAAACGGTAACCCTCACTGAACTCAGTATTTTAGTGATTTCCTTAAAGTGAAGCATGTCATTTGCTTTATCACAAGCAGTATTACTTACAGGAGCCAATTCTTGCTAGTCTTGGACATTTAAACACTTCAGGCCTACCCACATTTCCATACCAACACTCTGTCATAAGTGTTGTTTGCCAGAGGACAAGAAGATAATTAACATATACGGAAGTTTTCTGTATCATTATTCAGGAACAGCTGGAGGAACCTTCCTTAAAGATCCTTCCAAAAGCTTTTGTCAGTGGGATCATAATTTGCTAAAACACCCATCTATGAAAGTATTTCTGTATGCAGGTGTAATGTCATAAAACCACTAGTTTAAGGGATCTTCCAGAAAGGAAAAACTAAAGGCAAAAACCCTAGGAAAGCTATTTTAAGAAGCTGTGCACAAGGTACAAGGGAAAAACAGAAGGGGAGGAATAAAAGGAGGGGAGATTGCCTCTGTCTATCGCTTTCAGAAACGTGCACACATCTCCAAACCGATAATAAGGAAGAGCTGAAAACTATCCTCAAATCTCAAATATTACCAGATTTAATTCCCTTCTCTGAATCCAGGTTACGTGTGTGCTCCCACGGACCACAGAGGATGACTTTGCACAAAACAGATGCAGGAAGCTAAAGGACAGCAAAAAGACCGGTGTGTGAACACGGGGGATGGGGACAACCCTGAACACATTCAGCATTAAATCCAACGCCCAACGCTTCTCTCCTGCCTTTACTTAAAAAGGACTGTTAGCAGCAGAGAAACAGCAAAATGCTTTTAAAACACTGACTTTTTGAAAAGGAGGTACAGAATTTTAAGCCTGTCAGTCACTTGCAAACTGTTTCCATCTAATTAACAATAATTAACATCATCAGCTTTACAGAATGACCTGTGCTCTTCTGCATGTCAAAGATTTTTTTTTTTCTTCTATCAATTTCAAGCATTCCTCTTGCATATTTTTTGAAGGACAAAATTAACTTCCCAAATGAAGAGGACAATTTTCTTGACAATGCTTTAACCCACTTCAATGCTCACAAAAGTCAACCTTATTTGTCTTGGACTCAGATATTTAGCATCAAGAGGAACAGCACAGAAGAACAAGCTTCCTTTAAAAAACACTGATAGGCAATGCTGATTTAAAACACAGATTTACTTAACAGAATTTGAAAAATTAAATTAGAACAAAGAGAGAAGCCTTACGTTTCAAAGTACATGAACTTCTTTTAAAAAAAAAAGTATTGAAATGATAGCTTTACTTTATGTAAACATTGTTACACTGGGCTGTACTTGAAAATTCTCCTGCATGTCTAAGTTGCAAAATAATTTTTCAGGTTAGATACAGCTACGCCACTTCGTACTGACATGGTTCTCTTCAGAATCAATAGCTTTGAACGTTTAATTGCATCCCTCTCCACATGCTACAACTCACAATATGATCCTGCCCATCCTGAGAACAGATGCTTTCCTAGAGTTTAAAAAAAAAACAGCATTCATAGCTGTATGTGCATTGCAAAGGCAAATATAAATTAACAAATAGAGCTCTTTCATTATAAAGTCTCAAGAGGAATGTTCAAATTGCCTTTCTGAAATCAGAAAGGCAAGGACAGCAAATGAGAAGTCTTTAAATCTTTCAGAAAATCTTATCCTTAAGTGTAGGCATACTCCCCCAGTTCAGATGGGAAGAGCCATTGGGCTATGGCAGATTGAACAATATAGTATTACACTTGCAATTTTGCTTAAAAATTGGAATGTTACAAATATAAAAGTCTGCAGAATCGTACAGTGTATGTGTGCTCAATACAGTTGGCAGAGATACTCCGAGAGGCACAATTCCTCTGTGGAATAGGAGCTAAATTAAGTTACAAAAGTAATATACTGCTAAGAGTGGAAGATAGTCAAATTAGTACAATCCAGGTTTATAAAAGGAACACGGTGCAGCAAGGAGTAGCCCACAGAAGGGTACAAACCTCCAAATACAAAACTCTCTTGCAAAATTCCAAAGGGATTATTTTCCAGGCAAACGTAAGTACGTTGTGGCCATTAAGTCAGCTTGTACCAAGCTGGAAATGCTTCCAGTGGCTTTCCAAGGCTGACTTACACCACCTTTTGCACACACCACTTATTCTGGAATTCCAGTAACCAAATCAAAAGGTCTATAATATTTTTTTCTGATTATCACCTTTTGCCTATCAGTTTCCATCTAGCATAAATCTAATTGCAAGTCTCTACAGCCAATGTCAGCACTGTCCCCTTACAAACCACCGCATGCAGAAGGCCTCACCAACGGCGCAACCCTTGCTTACGTGTTATGGACTCAGAGTGTTGGTTTGGGGTTTTTTGGGGGGGTTTGTTGTGGTTCTTTTTTATTTATTTTTTTGAAAAACAACCAAAACTCAACTGCTTATGATATTTTCTGAGGGTAGTAAATGAGCAACTTAAATTAAGAACTAGTCTCTTTTCATGTTTGTTAGAAGAACATATACTCTGTGTGTTTTTATACATATATAAACAAATATACTGTGTATATATATATCCAGAGACATTCACCATATTGTTGACACCAGAGTGCTAAAACATACATCAATATGAGCACTATTTCCAATACTCACTATTATTACTTTTCCTGAAAGAGTTACTACATGCATTTTCCCCATCCATTTATGGGACAGTAAGATATATGAAGATAACTGTTCTGTTTTTCCAATGTTAAAGAGCTGCTCCTAAAAAGCATGCACAGGTTTGGGTATAAAGCAATTAAAAACCACACAGAAAAGTTATTTTGTGGCTTTAAATTCACTAAAGCTAAATTAACTTTACTGTCATTGGATGTAGCATTTACTTTAACTCATTTATTTAAACACAAAAGGGAAAACTTCCAAGTGCTAGAACAACCATGTAGACAACTGATAGACTAGACTAAATAAGCTCTCATTAAAAAATCATCATCACTGCATAGCCACAAGGCAGACTCTCATTTTTGGCAACCCATACACAGACCATTTATACTGTCAATTATACTTTAAGACTTGTTATTTAACAGTTAAGAGACCCTTTTAGCAAGGAACTATACTGTTTTCCTCATTATGACACAATACTCCTCAATCCTTAAGTATACACAGAGTTTGTTTCAGAATCACATTTATGACTGTTTTCAAAGAAAATCCTCATAAAGTTCTAATTTTTAAGTCAGTATATGTAAAGGCTGGCATGTCAGGTAACGGAGATTATTTGGACCTGTAAAGGGCATATTATACTCGGTACAAGAACATATTTGAGGTTACAGTTATTTAAACATTCACACAGAACCTTACTAAGGGCAGCAATATGCTGGTTCATAGTCATGGTTCACTGACAGCCTTTACCAGTCCCTCCATTGTTTTCTATCAAAGCAACAAGAAAACAAAACACATCCCCGTGATGTACGAGAACCCCATTCTATGGCTAAGAATCTAAGAAGCAAGACAAGGAGGAGGAGATCACAGAGTGAGAAAAATGTTACTTTACATCCCCCCCACCCCGCTCACCTTGTAGGATCTTAGTCATAACACTTCATGCAAATCTGAACTGACCCCCACACTCTTCAGCCAATCAATCTTTTCAGGATAGTAGGTTTTGAAAAGGGCCAGCAATACTCATTGGGAACAGTACCGTTAACGTTGCATTCAAAAAAAGAAAACATTGGAAACCAGATCCTGGCTCTCCTGCTCTGTTGATAGGCTCTAGTATTAGCCAGCGTGTGGTAATACAGGAAGAGTCTTGTAGTGATGTAAAAGGCAATGAAGACGTCTATAGAATAATGTTCATGTGCAGCTAAAATGAAGAAGATTCCAAAGAGATTCAGGACCCAGGATAAGGTATGCAAGAAGTTCCAGCTCCTTGGCGTATCTAGGAGAAAAAAAAGAGAGGGACACACATTAATGTCTCAAAAAATCCGGGTCATTATGAAATCCCAGCCTAGACATTGCAAGTTTTTATACAGATTTTTTCATGCAAATATGCGAGGAAGTTACTGCCTTCACTTGGAATTTTTGTTTACATCTACAGGTCCAATAAATCCAATGAAAACAACCACACAAGTTATAAACACCTATCACTTCATGACTTCATTTACAGATACGGCTATTACGCATTTCTGAACTAACAGAGCATCCTAAAATGGTTTAGGACCACACAAAGCAGAATTCTTTGTTCAACCAACTTCTTTTAGTGAAAATTCTGCCTTTTCCAGGTAATAAGAGGAAATAATGTTACTGCAATTATTCCATCATAGGTGAACTCTAATTATCTTAGCTTACTAGATTATGTATCAAATCACACTTTTATTTATAGAGGAGTACTATTGTTTTATACACTCTCACTCATTAAGATGTTTGGCATTTTGGCTTTATGGATGATACTAAGTTTACAGCCACCTCGCCTGGTATTTCACCTGACGGGCCGGTGGCAGATACCTAGGGAAGGGTGCAGGAACAGACAACCATAAATATCTTCCCTCGTGTTCTCCCAGTAGCAAGCTAGAAGCCTCTCTAATTTTCTTGGCTCGTGTTCTTTCCTGAGTGCCCTATTCATCCTTCCTGTCTGCAAGGGAACTGTCCCAAACCTGAGGAAGAGCACAGCAATCTGAATTTATATTTGTTTGCTCTAATGTTACACACGCTGAACTTTTTGAGGAGGTCAAGCAGCAGAGATTCTCAATATTTAAGGATATTTAAGTATTTACACTCTCGTACCACTGACTGACAGCAAGCAGGACATATTCTTAACGCTTAAGGACATTTAAGTATTGACACTCTGTACTTACATTCTGTGACAAAGAAGTTGAGCATGGTCAGGACGACAGTGTGGCCACTGAACATGTAATCTCCACACGTATGTACTCCAGTCAGAGTCATTCCAAAACCACTCCATATTGCAAATGCCCGCTGGAGTTTTGCCCAAACATTGCCATACAACTAAAAGACAGTGACATTAATCGTAAGTTCCAACCCCACTGCCCAGAGAGTAGGTCCTTAAAATTAGCTGTATAGCACTATGTATGTTTAATACCATTTATCATGTTGGGTCTCTTATTAAAAATGCAGGTTAGTACTTCTTTGGGTTTTATTGTGGCAGTGAGTCACATTAGTAACTCCAATTACTAATTGTATTCATCATACCTCTGATGAATACTGGAATTTAGAGCAAGTATTTTATTGCAAGTGATTTATGCACAGCCTGCCGTATTCAACCTGCCAGTGTGTCGTTGTCAAGCTTTCAATATATTCAGCTCAAACCTCTTCCAACTAAAATTTGGGATAAAACCATAGAATCCCACGTTCTGTGGAACATCCTTTATTAGAAGGGGGAAATAATAATAGTGTTTTGGGGGTTTGTTGGTTTGTTGTTGGGGTTTGTTTTTTTTTCTTTTATTTCTTAAAAATGTGTATCCAATAAGACACAGAAGTTATTACTCCACTTTCAGCCTTTCTTCATAAAATCAGTACATTAAGCATATACTTCCCCGATGTATTCTCCATGCTTTATCTTGTGAAATATTCTGTACATCCTTCCCCAAGTAATTTTCTCCTCTCCAAAGTGTCAAGTGCTTCTAAGACCCCTAAGGATGCTTGCCTGCATCATGGCAATTAATGAAGGGGAGTGGAGGGTAACAGGAGAAACAGCCCTGTTCTTACAAACATATTTCTAACATTATGGTCACAACAATCTTAATCGTATCTTAAATAAAATTAAAAAAAAATAATAGGAAATGGGAAAAATAATGTAAAGCATTTAAAGTTTTTACCTTTCCAGTACACTGCAAGTGTTGGCCTGGCACAGAGAGTGAGGTAACAAACATTGTAATGCAACGTAATAAGAATACTGTCCCCATGAGGCTGCACAGTCTTCGTAGAAGTATAGATCTGGGAAAAAGCACATAGGAGCTGATTGCAAGAATCCTAATACATTGTATTTTTAAATCAGGAAAGCTACAATAAAAAACATTTCTCTGCACCCCGACTTAATCCCATAAAGTCCCTTCATCATCGCCACAAGTTTCACAGTAAAATATATATTTTATTATTTTTTTTAAAAAAAAGTAGTACTGTGAAGGTATGGTTCCATGTGACAGGGTGAGACACTATAGCAAGTCACCAAAAGGTCCAGCTCCACTCCTCTGCAGCTACGCTTTTACTAGCTTTGGCACTCGTACCTTCTGTTGCCAAACGGATAAAAATCAACAAACTGGTAAAAAATTAACCTAAAATACGCACGCACAAAAAAAAGGGGTTTCTACCCTTCAGTGACAGCAAGCTGCCAGGCTGGTTCAGTGCAATTTCATTCTTGTAGGATTTTCTTATATTCAAAATTTTTACAGTATGAGAGTATATACTGACAAATCTCTGAAATACATATGTTCTGAAGGAAATGACATATAAATCTGCTAGAAAAGTAAATTCACATAACTCTTCTGTAAAATTCACAAGTCACCATTCTTGATTAAATCCTCCCTAATCCCATAACAGGGACCTATTAGAATCTTACAAGATTTTTATTGAATGGAAAGTCTTAAGCAATCGTCATAAATTCTTGTTACAGCCCTTTGCCTGAATCAAAAGTACCAGTTAATTTGAATTTTATACACCGTACCTGTGTTTGTGAAGTAGAAGAACCAACAGCCAAATGTAGCAGAGAATTACGCCACATACTTCAGTCATAGCAAAAGCCCATGGTATCCTTGGGACGCTAAAAAAAAAAAAAAAGGGATGGAGCAAGAAAGTTAACTTAAAATACAGAGGCTTAATTTTTCTTTCTAGTCTCAGTATCGAGAATAAAGGCATATAAAGTTCTAACTACAAAACTAACTTGCATTAATCTGACAATAGTTTAAACTACAAACAAAAATTGTTTTGTTATACTGAATGAATTAATTTTTGATTCTATTATCTCCCTTTTAATCGTGTATTTTCAGCAGACATTTATAAAGAATTCACTCATTCAAAGAAAATCTCTAGTATGGTCTCTTAATTTACATGTGTGATTTACTAACAGGATGTGCTCCTCCACCATTGTTTCCCAACAACCTTTTTCATTCTGACACAAACTTGCATCATGTCAATTATGCTGCTTGTGCTTGTAAGAATGCCATGTCAACACAATTAATGAAACGCTGCAAAGCCTAAAATCCTACTTGTAATGAAACAGAACTGCAAAGAGAAGGGTTGGGAAAAATAAAAATTCTTTTCAAAGTTAGGTTTCAGTGATAATCACTGTATGCAAACCTTTTAGCCTTGCTTGACAAAAGATTTTAAAACTTTCTTGCACACACAACACCAGTAACAATTTCCACTCTGCAGTTTGACCAAAGTACAGACTGACAGACTTCAAGAGAGGCCACTCCTCATAGTTTTGTGTTGCTCCTGATACAAAGGGGTAGCAAAGCGCTGCACAAATGCTGGCTTTGTAGTAATCCCCTCATATTGTTCCACGAGCTGCTGCTTTCTGACCTCCCCATCCTGACCACTGAACACCACAGCAGTGCCCTGGGAACAAAATCTAGTCACATCATAGCTCCCGGTCTCTTTCCCCTCCTTCTGCTCTGCTGGATGTGGTCCATCCTTGCTGAGCTGTATCTAAATTTATGGGGGATTCTGCATGCTTACTCAAACAATTAGACTCCTACTGACTTCATGAAAACCATTAATGAAAATGGAAATTACGTCAGGAATAAGGAGACCACAAAGACTGAACTGTTTATCTTGTCCTTCAAAACTCTGTAGGCAGTAAGTTCTCTATTGCACAAGTGTGCTTCCTCCAAGGGGGTATTTATCCTCCATTAAACCTGTAGTCAATGACTAGAACTTCACCTTTGCCATTGTGTCTCTTTCCTACCTGGAGTTTTTTTTTTAAAAAATGAGCAGGCACTGCATAAGTCACACCAGTGTTTTAGTACAGATACTCTATGGTCAAAAAGATGCTGGTCTATTCAGTCTACATAAGAGTTTCCCTAAACCAACTTCAATAAATTGACAGTGGGGAGACAGCAAAAATACAGTATGAATGCCATTCCTTTTCAATTTCCTTGCTCACTGGCAGATAAAAAAAATCCTTCATTAATTTATTTTCCTGTATCACGGCACGTTAAGCTTCAAAGCAGCATCTGGATTTCATATCCACACCAGCTGACCATCACCCTTGTTATCAGAATGAGAGGATGGACAAATTAACTCCTGTGTTGTGATTGTATAGAATTCAGCATAAACTGGGTAGAACAACAGCTCAATTTGTTTTCCCCTGAGAAGGCTAAATCTCTGCATGTAACCAATACACATTTCAGTCTTAGCAGAAGGGTTTACTAGGCTATAACTACTATTTTGCAGAGTCATCTTCAAGAGCATACAAAACTTTGAAAAGACAGAAGAAAAGACAGCCCATATTTAACCATCAAGTTACTGTTCGGTTTTAAAAGAAAATTTCTTACCTATCTAGAAATATGTCTGGCAGAGGTGGATATGTTTGCATGTCAGGTACTCGCTCATGTACTATAACCATGACAAATGACGTAAAGCCAAACACTATGAAGACATACACACAACTTAAAATTGTCTTCCAATACTCGGGGTCCAGTCTTCGCGTAGAGTGTTTGTTTTTGCCATTTGCATACTGATACTGATCACCATTCAAGTCAGTAATTGGTCCATCATAGTCCCGAGGTACTTCACCGTTACAAAACCAATCTGAGCTCTGTAGTGAGCCAGCACTCGGGCACACTGTGCCAACGTGACTGTCACTGTTGTAACCCAGCTCTTCTAGGACATCAATATGTTGCTTCTGCAGCTTGCGTATGGACAACATGAGCCTTTTGATGTCCCCCAGGACTTTGATTTCCAAAGGTGGGGATCGTAAGTCATATTCTGTGAGTGTCAGCAGTGTAATTCCATCTAGCCTGTGTCTATTGCACAAAGTATCCACATATTCACAGAAGCCTTCTTCCTTCAGCCACCTCGCCACGTTCTTGGTGGTCCAACGTCGAATGCAGAGCTGGTTATTGCCTGCCATTATCCTCCACTATCCGCCAACAAAATTGACCTGTTATGTATTGGAGAAAGAGATAAGACCTGAATGTTAATGAAGACTACTGAAATGTCAGCTTATTTTGTGCAATTTTAGATGCTTAATTAGCCAAAGGCTTTTCATATAAGACCCCGCTAAAAAACAGACACAAAATTTGTTAAGTAATATAATAATGCTTTTAAAACAATTTTTTTACTCAAGCAAAACCAAATTAAGATTATCTCACTTGTTCCTAAATAGAAATTTAAAGCCACCAAGAAGCAGAATATTTCCTAAATGCACCCAGTCTACTTTCAGTCTTTTGTTAAAAAAAAAAAAGAATCAGAATTTGTTAATTACACGAGGCAATGAAACCTACAGATTACTCTGTTTAAGTACCAGCTTAATCATTAGCCTTTTCCACTGTCTGCAGTTCATAGACTAAGCAAGAAAGTATAGCCAGCGACCACATAAAGCTGAGTTAAAGCTAAAATAATACATTACAATACAGGTCCAATACATTCCACTGTTTTAAAATATATATACACTGAAGTTTTGGTGACATCATATTCTCCCCCCCCTCCCCACCCCTCCAAAGTAAACTTAAGACTACGTATCTACACTAATATTGACTGGAGGCATCTTAGTTGAATGCTGATGATGCAGCCATCATATTTCTATATTTGTTTGATCTCAATAATTTAGATAGATGCTTATTGCATTGCAAATCCTTTAAAATATTCATCTTTCAAAATACCATTACTGGAAACTCAGCATTAGCTTTAATTCCAAGGCATCTTTAAAAGTGATGTGGTAACAGGTAACAACATAACACACCAAAATCAGAAAAGATGTATTCCCTTCATACAGATTTCTCAGTTACTGTTTCCTGACCCTAGTCACATGGAGGTGACAAGTCACCAGAATAACTTAGAACAACAACCAGAAAAAAATAATATTACATGGAACAGGTAAAAAAATTTTGAAAGGCTACTGGTGATGTGAAAGTAATAAAAAGCTTATCCAATATTTAAGACCCACAGCAGTACAGAATGGATTTGTGCATAATTTATATTTGGTGGCTTATGTACAGCTACCATCTAAGAAACAGCTACAATTTCACAGCTCTGTTGTACTCAAAAAACCAGTCTAATTAACTAGAATGCTTCAATCATGCCAACCAAATCTCAGAAAATACAATACACTAGTGTCACATACATCATTCAAGGTTTTCAGAGTGAAAGCAAGGAAACAGTCTATTTAATCTATTATTTACCTTCCGTATACAGTAAACAGGTACTCAAATCCCTCATGAATATATTCACACAAAGTTTTATATTGCTTTCAGGGGTACCGCTCTTCCACTAACAGAAGCTCTTTCCTTCTCACCTCTCTTTTTAAAAAGGTACTGTACCTATTGTTAGAAATAGCTCTTATCATAATTATTGGATGCCACTTTTTCTTCCAACTTACATCTAAAGGGACCACACAATATTTTCTTCTAGATCAGAGAAGATTCAGCTTGTTCCATGAGACTTCCCAACCGTGCAAAGAAATAGTTTAGAAGAAAAATGAATGCACAAATCAAAGTTGCCTTCTAAAAGAATTAAGGGAGTGGTACTTCTGCAGATATTCTCTCTGGAGTTGACTGTATATTAACATGTAATTAATGCATAGCTTTAATTTCTCAAAATTCCATATACAGTCAATATGTATATAAGCTTTAATACCTCGATTTAAATAATTGCCACAACATCCATAAACCACTACTAGAATCTCTGCATATACTGTACTCTTCCTTCTCCATATAAAAGGTTATTTCCTCATTTCTGTGTTATCTTACTATTTTTGAAAATGTTGCCCAACACAACTGTAGCAACTATGTTGCACTCACAGCTATTAACAAAAGAAATTATGACATTTAATTTGTAATTAGTTATCAGTTAGTTGACTTTTTTTTTTGTACTACATTTTTATCTTCTGTAAAAAAAAATCAAACTTTAGTTTCTTATGTGGACATCCAGCTTTCCTTACTTGGAAATACAGACAAAATAAAGACAAAATTTGTTAACCACAGGGTTTTTTGTAACACTAAGCATTGCAATTTTTTCTAAAAGCAGAGAACTTAGACTCACCAAAAATACACTCAACTTACTGATTTGTCTTCTAACCAGAGCAGCTTCTGAGGGCAAAAGCAAGAAACTCTCCCTAAACTGTAAGATTTCTGTTCATTAGTCACAAGCCAAGTAGCCTTACATCAGCCTGGTGTCTCTTCATCTGGCACCGCAGGAATAAAAATCAAGCCTTACATTAGTGCAATAAAAGTGACCTTCCAACAGTGAGTAAGGTACCCATCAAAGGTCATTTCTGAAGGGGTTGGACCTGGGAGAAAGTCTACGTTAATCTTAAGATAGGACCTGCTCCTGTTTTTAAGTGCAAAGTTAAGACATTCAACCAACTGGAAAAGACAAATCAACAAAAGAAACAAGCACTTACAGAAAACACAAACCATTTCACACAGCTGGCAACTAATTTCACCTCAACAGCAACAGTTAAGTTCAGTTTTGATGACAGGGCAATTTCTTTAAACTCAGAAACTGCTTTCTCCTTCAGACCATTTATTTAGTGCCACTTTCATAGCTTAAAGGGTAAAAAGCACTTTCCCTAGTAATCTTTGCACCTGGAATGCAATACAGATCTCGGGGCACAATTGCTACTGTTCATTTTTGAAGCTTAGGAATGCTGCACAACACTACCAGCCTGCCACACAAGACGGACAAGTTTGCAGAAGAGACGGAGTCACCAAGATAACTGTGTTTGTCTTCTGAAAGAAAACAGCACCGGTAACCACTTTGCTTTCTACAGTACTGATTTTATTGCTGAAACCAAATAATGGATAACGTTATTTAATGATGAATAATACACGAGAAACACAGAGCAAGCACAGACTTAAACGTCAGAAGGCAAAATGTACTTTTCGCCTGACATCAGCAATGTCTGTGGCTGCCTAACTGATTACTGTCCTGCTACTGTGACTTTATATTTAGTCAGCTCATCAACAGTATGTATCATGTGTCTTGTTTCCCTTTTTCCCTCCCCAGCCTTTCAATTAACAGCATGAACACAACTCAGTATGAAGTTCATGCACGTACGTATAAGTATTTATTTTTTTTTAAAGAAAAACGTTACTTTATGAGCCATGAACACTTCTAATATTTGGTTCGGGCATGTTAAAAAATGAGATACCTCTGAGAGGTTGAGTATAACCTTAGCCCAATATTTTTCCTAGAGGTATATTTAAATATGGAAAATTAGTCTCTCATAATAATTATCCACAATTCTATCATGTTTTCCTCTACTGAATTACTGCTAGTCGCCCACTAAGACCCAAACTTTCCTAGCAAGCAGCCTTTGAGTCAGTATATTGAGGTAAAAATGCGGAAAGTTGAATGTGATTATCCCTACTGTAGCCAAGGGAAAGTGGCATCAATATCACACTAGCATTAGGACGTGTTCCTGTTACAGAAAAAAACCTCAGTTACACCAGAACTATAGCTGAAGGGTTAAATAATACCCAAGTTACATCCACAGGGGTAGCAGCACACCGACTGGATTTGCTTATTCCAGACACACATGCAAAACTCCACCAGCACCAGGACTGCTTCATCACCTGCCCTCCAGGGCCTGGGGCAGCCTGGGGCTCTCCTTGCTGACATGCCTCTTGATTTTTTTTTCCCAGATAGGTTCAACCCTCACCATCCTTGAGAAGAATTTTAGGAAGCGCACCAAAGAACTATCAGATCTCAAGTGATTTAACCTACATTTCTCTGCAGAAGGTTCCAAGCTGAAGTTGGAATATAGGTGATTCCCACTCAGCCCCTCCTTCGCCGGCTGAGGAGTGCGGCATCTCTCACCTCGGAGGAAAAGTTTCTCTGCACAAAGGCTGCTGGTTCACATGTGGACAAGACCCAGGTTTGAGGGCTTGGCTCCCCACACACAAAAAAAGCCATACACACAAAAATGTGCGCTGAGCCAGCCTGCAATAATAAGGCTACTGTCACACACCAACTTAGTCATGCTGCGCTGGAAAAAGAACACACAGCACTGCCTTGTTATGCACCAAAAGTCTTGGATACTCAGCTGACTTGCATCAGAAGCTTGACACTTGCTCTTCCTGAAAACTTTGAATTCTTCAGTGCTTATGTAAAACAAATAGCACCACAGGTTTCGTTGCCATACAGTATATGGTGACTTAATCCTTACCTTCTAAGGTATAGTACGGTATACCTCATACAGTACCTTCATATATAGTAAGGTATCTTGTAAACAAAAGGAGAGAAAGAACACCTGCAAAACCAGTAACTGATTTTTCCACGTTTTTTTTTTAATACAATAGCTCCCACGCTATATATAAAACTGATCAAACACAGCACAATGCCCACCGCGAGACCGAAAAACTGGATAAGTACTTTCTTGAAGCAAGCCTATAATAATTTCAAATGTGGAAATATTTCCTGTAAAACTTGTTTAGTTTGTCGTATGTCTTAGGTTTTAAACCACCAAGGAAGATGTACTTTTCAAGAATTATTTATTGAAGTGCTGCACTGTGGAAAATATAGAACAGATATTATAAAATCAAAGATTAGTTCCATACGCTTAGAACAGTCTTCCTGCTGGAACGCCTCCATGCAGAACTGACAGCAGCTACTACAGAAAGTCCCAAAAGCTAAACATATTTGTCTTAAGAACCACTAAGTGCAGTTACATATTGCAGCAAGCTGAACAGAACACATACTGCTCCCTGATTTTAACACCTCATTAAACCAAATGGGTTGTACTATACTCAAGTGAACACTAAGAGCGGCTCAACTCCTAATCTGCTAACAAAACATTTATACTACCACCATAATTCAAGGAACACACAAGTGATTTTTAAACAACTGATCAAGTACTCCACCACTTATCTTAGGATGTAATTCACGGTATTTCATTAATGTTTGTACAAGATCTTGAAATTTCACACCCTAAGTGTCAAGTATTTTTTCCTCCAACTTCAAGAAACAGTATATCCATGTTGTAACAGAATGTTTGCTGCTCTTGATCCTTACACGACTTGGCAGTAGAACAACTCAGGTTTGCTTTTCTCCTTTTATTCTTTTCTTTTCTTCCTACACCCTCATCTTAGGATGGAAATCGGGGAAGACACGAACAAACTCTCCATCCAAATGAATATCAGAATAATACAGTGAAACTGTGTTTGTTCTTACCCTCCACAATCATCTACAACTTAATCTTTCTGGTTTAGTCACAATCTAGGAGCTTTCCTCACTTGAGATGCCTTAAAATAGATAAGGAATAAAAAACTTCTAATTATACGATTATCAAATAAACATTTATAATGTAACATGGTTTATGGATCTCAACCAGCTTAGCAGGCTGCAAAATTGAGCTCTGTACCAAAGAAAAGTGACAGTATAGATCCTGAAAGATTGCAACTCCTTGGCCAAGCTGTGTTTTCAATTGTATACTACCAAAAAAACCCCAACGAGCCAGTTAAAAAGAAGAAAAATAGCTCACATCGGATAGCGAACAAGATAATTTAAAATTCTTGCTCTTCACAAATCTACAGAACGTTTCCTTCACATCTAAGTAGCACTTTCACAACAAGAACTTATCAAGTTTCCCCACAGAATTTCCTTCCACTGGGTATAAAAAAATCATTTCGCCCCAATCTTGCCAGTTAATTCCTTTTACTTTCTGTAACACAGGAAAAAAAGGTGGAAGAACAAGACCAAAGGAATTTCCTTACCTCTGATATACAGCAAGAGGCACCCCCTACCAAAGATGAGGGGTATTTAAATGCCAGGAAACCTCTCGCTGAGTTCTTGCCTCTCCAGAGCACAGCATGATCTGCTGCTCTGTGGAGGTGGCACGGACACGGTGTCCAGCTGCCGGATGGAGCTCTGTGGAGATGGAGCATACTGAGGGCAAGTGGGATCTTCCATCAAGTCACCTTACAACGCGGAGCGTGTGTTGGGTTTTTATAAAGTGAATTTTGCAAACTGACAAAACCACGAGATCACTTCAACTCCAGTCACAAACTAATAAATATGTGAACGTTGAAACTGCCTCTCATTTGCCTCTTCTTCTGTTAAAGTACAGAGCTGGAAAAAACCACCCCTTTGAAGTATTGTTTTTTTTTAAAATAGCAATCACTAAGTGAACAGTCTGACAGGTCACCTAAAGCATTAGCAATGTAGGTTTGAGAGACGGAGCGGGTAACAGTTCCTGCAGAGTTTCAACTTTCTAAACGCGCACAGGCCTCAAAACCACACAAAATCTGTCCCGCTCAGTCAGACTCCTCCAGTTCCACCCTGAAATCACACAGCAGGCGTGCCAACCTGTGACAGCACCTTTCCGTGCTGCTGCCCTATTTATCAAATCCTACACGCTCAAAAACTACTTTTTGAGCAAAATCTAATACTTTGCCCTCAGAAAACCCACCAATCTTACACCATTGGCAGCGAAATCAGTAAGATAGCCGAATATCTATTTGGAGCTGGTGGGACCGTTTTGACATCAAACTGGGAGGCTGGCACAAAGAACAACCCCTCGGCACCACGTCCAGCGGTGGTGTGTCCCCTGTGCAGGGGGGCACAGGCTGAGGAACCCTGGTGGTGTGTCCCCTATGCAAGGGGGACACAGGCTGAGGAACACCAGTGGTGTGTCCCCTGTGCAGGGGGACACAGGCTGAGGAACCCTGGTGGTGTCTGCCCTATGCAAGGGGACATAGGCTGAGGAACCCCACTGGACACAGGCTGAGGAACCCTGGTGGTGTGTCGTCTGTGCAGGGGGACACAGGCCGAGGAACCCCAGCAGATACAGGCCGAGGAACCCCACCACCACCACCCTCCCCTCACCAGACCCGCTACCCCAACACCCGCCCCGCTCAGCGCCCTGCGGACCCTCCGCTCCCACCCCCGCCCGCCAAACGAGGCTTTTTTTTTTTTTTCCTCCTCCTTAGTCACTGCCGAAGAAGCAAATTTACCAAGTTCAGCACGAAAGCGACACAACCGGGCGGGAAGCGCTCAAACGCTCCATCCTCCCCACGGCAGACGGGGACACAGGCGCGATGTCCGGCTCCCGGGCAGCGGGGCTCCCTCAGCAGCCGGCCCCGGCGCACGCCGCCGACACCCCACCGGCCCACGGCCCTCTCCCTCCCGAGACCCAGACACACGCCGACCCCGGTCCCCCCGCCCGGCGACCCGGCCGCTCCTCACCGGCGGGGCGGCTCTCCCGCGTCCCCCGGGCACCGCGCCCCGCTGCGGGGCGATCCCTGCGAGGAGGAAAGGAAGGGAGCGCCCCCCGACCCCGCACCTCCCCCGGCCTCACCTGCCGCCGCGGCGGCAGCAGCGTTAAGTGGCGGTGCCGCAGCGCCCGGCCCCGGGGCGGCGGCGGCTCCTGCGCGCCCTCCCTCTCTCCGGCGGCAGCGGCGGCGGCGGCGGCGGCCACCGCCACCCCCCCATCACCCGGCCGGAAGTGGCGGCCGGCAGCGCCAGCGCCTCCCGGGCGGCGGAAGGGGCGGAGGCGGCTTCCGGGAGGGGCGGCGGAGGCCGCAGCGGGGTGTTCCCTCAGCGCGGAGCGGCGGGGCTCAGGCCCGTGACTGGGGTGTCCCCTCAGCGCGGAGCGGCGCGGGCCAGGACCCTGGGTGTCCCCTCAGCGCGGAGCGGTGGGGCCCAGGCCCGGGCTGCGCCGCTCCGGGCTAAGGGAACACCCAGGGCCCAAGCCCGTGACTGGGGTGTCCCCTCAGCGCGGAGCAGCGGATCCGGGCCCGTGACTGCGGTGTCCCATCAGCGCGGAGCGGCGCGGCCCGGGCCTGGACCCTGGGTGTCCCCTCAGCGCGGAGCAGCTGGGCCCGGGCCCTGGGTATTCCCCCGCAGCGCCACGCAGCCCCGGCGTGTTCCCTCAGCCCTGCGCGTTCCCTCAGCGCGGTGCAGTGCGGCCCCGGCCATCGCTGGTCCCTGCCGCCCCCGGGGACCCTGCCCGGGGTTACCGCGGGCTTCGCCGGCACGGGCTGAAGGTCCTGAGGGGTTGCTGCCGGCCGACTTGGCCTTCGTGGGGCTTCCAGCAGCTTGTCGCCCCAATCATACCCCTTCATTAAACCTCCCGTCGGGGCCCAGGCTGTGCCACACACAAACGGCTGGATGGGCTGCCTCGGTTCTTGGGGGTGAAAGTCTGAAATACATAGAAGTGCAGTCACAAGCCCTCTGAGCTGTGAGAGAAACTCCAAACCCATAGGTTTTGGTGGTCGATGGCAAATTTTTTAGAGGTCGTAAGACAAGACATGACTAAATCTGCCATGATTCCAACAGAGATCAGCTGAACGGAGTCTTGCTTCTCTAACTGTATCTTGGTTTTCTAACAAGAAAAATAGAACACGCTTAAACCAAGGTAAAGGTAAAGAACTCTACTCCTGGAAGATACTGTAGTGTAGTTTTTTCCACTATGATCTTTCAATCCATCATAGGGAAATTTCTTAGTTCTATCTGGATGTGAGAAAGAGGTGGAAATTTCTAACCACACTAAACAGAATTTTCATTGATTTTTTTTTTATGAGACATGAATAAGCACACAGCATGATCCTGCCATCATTTAAAAACCCACTAGCGTAGTCATGAAAATATCCCCATCCTTCATTTAAAGGCATGTGTCAGGAGAAAATAGCAGAGAAAACTTGCAGCACCCTCATACTGTCAATTTTCGTATCAAGCAACTGTTAGAAAACATTTCTCTTCAGATGCGCCATTTTTTTGCACCATTACTCTTTTCTGATGCCTGTAGAAAAAATAAATCTGAAGACTGGCAGCTGTCTGACTGCGCTCAGCCAGTCGTTCATCCAAGGTGATCCACGGCACAGATGACTTATGAAAGCTTCAACAAGGCACCGTAACTTCAGGTGCTCCATACCCTATAAATAATACAAATGGAGGGGACAGGAGGAGGCAGACGAATTAGAAACAGATTACTCCAGAAATAATTGTATTTTGTATATCAACTGACTGTGGCAGCAGCCAGCCCTCTGCAGCGGCATAATGCAGTCGGACGAACATTCAGAATTTGCTTTGTTAATGATGTAATTACTGTGCAGTCCAAGACAAGTTTAAGTTGTAGCTTCAGTTGAAGTGAAAAACGGGTGCCAGTGTAGCTGCATTAAGTTAATGACACCAGCCTTTTCAGAGAATTTGGCCTTGTATTCTTTCTTCACATCGAAAAAAAAAAAAAGATCTTTTGCAATCCTTATGCACGTGCAACTACAGTAAAACAAGGAAATTTTGCATTTTGAATTGCTTCAAAGTTACGTCATCAAGTCATTGAGCAACCTGATGCAAATGTTCACAATTGTACAATTTCAGTTGTAATGGGTTACACATTTTAAACAGACCAAATACTGGATATTCAGAACAGAAACAAGCTGTAAGAACTTCTGCTCATTGCCACGTGCCTGTTCAGAGATGGTTATCTCTTAGCTGTCTGCTCCACCCTGTTTTTATTTTTTACACCAAATGATTTGTAGTTTCCCAAACAAGTTGCTGAAGGTGGAGGGAATGTTCCACTTCCTTTGCCAGCGGAGCAGCCTCTGCAAAGAGCGTAGGAATTAAGTGCAATTTCCATCCTCGCCATGTTCCCCTTCTTTCCCTTTACATCCTCTGGATGAAAAACAGACAAGTCCGAATTCATTAGTGACAAACTGTAGAACACATATGTATGAATCTGAAGAAAAAAAACAAAAAACAAAAAATCAATGAGACATTGTCTTCCTGTTAATAATGGACCTGTTAATAAAGCTGGTCAAAGGCTGAGATAACTTTGCCTCCTCCAAGTCCACATATTCCTATTCAACAAACCTAGCAGTTGTCTGACAACAAAAACAAAATTATAGGAGAGCAAAGCAATTTAGGTAAACAAGACTTTGTGTTTCTCTGCTTTGTGCATTTTTCACTTTTTCTGCCATGAATTTTTCTTCACCAGCTGCCAGTCAATCACATCTTCTTGCACACTTCCAAGTTGGTACAACTTAAAATGCATTGCTGCATTTGCTTGTAGCTGAAAAATTGTTTTAGGCTAAAAATGTAAAAATAAGGTAAAACTGAAATGAAAAATTGCTGCCAAAGTAAGTGTCGCAGGCTCTAGAGCTGTCTCATGGCAGAACCAGTCACCGTGACAGTGTCTGAAGCACAGTCCTGGAGCTAAGTCACCATCCAGGATCTCATCCTTAGCCTTTTCATGGGAGGTGACAGGAAAGTGCTGCTTTGTTCAGAGCGCTATGGCTTTGTTGTGTGGTGTGTTGTTTTTTTTTTAATATAAATAGGCATTAGAGTCCACCAGATTGCAGGAAGGAAGCAAAAATGAAAGCAAAAGTTTCCGTATCCTGTTTCCCTACAATTTTTATAGCAAGACCAGAATCCACCTACAAATGACTTCCCAAATTCACTCTCCAGACTTGAGAAGTCCAGGTTTATGGTTTATGGCAGCGGTTTCGCAACCTGGAAGAAACCCTTGACAGCCAGTTTCTATCTGAAGGTATCACTGCTAATGGCATTCTTCTGCTCTGTCTAGTTTCATGGCCTAACAAATACTTTGAAAGTGATCGAATTAGCTTGCACAGACACGTGATAAAGAGCACGATTTAAAACTTGTAACTCTTACATGAAAGTAGACACGCAATAACTGCTTAGCCGCTCCACTTCAAAGCTGAAAACTACTTCTCCTTGCTAACAAGTGATGTTCTTCAAAAGGGTGAATTATCTAAATAATATGTGCTTTATTTAACAGAAATTTCCAATAAACCTCATTCCATCACTTTGAGTTATGTCACTTCATGCCATGTGACATGAAGGCATTGATGTAAGTTTGACAGGCAGCGCCAATGCTGACATGTCAGTCTGAGAATTTATGACAAATTATATGCTACAGATATATTTTAAACTACTGCAGGTTGACAAGGAAAAAAGTCTTTAGAATGTGTAATTACACTGGGTGCATCTTTAGATTGAAAACAATTTATTCAATTCACATAGTTATGTTGATTCAATGTTCAGACTGACAACCCCCCCCCCCCCCCCCCCAAAAAAGGAAATTTATATTAAAATTCTCCAACTAACACCAGTTACATTATATACCAAAATAAAATGTGTTAATGTAATGTTTTTGGTGGTGATTTTTTTTAAAACACTTTGTCATTAGATAATACTGTTAGCATTTAATAATTTGAAATAATCTATCTCAAATAAATCTCAAGACCATATGCAGGAAAGAAAGGCCCCAGGTGAACAGAGAATAAATTGCTTATGAAAATTCTCTCCCAGCAAAGAATACAGCATGACAATGGGGAAATCTTTCACTGGAAGTGCTAATTGATCTAAATCATGATGTTTTCTTTTTCTGGGTTTGAGGGTGGATTTTTTTTTGGTAATTTCATTTTTGTAGAGATCAGGTCCTGCCTCGTAATTTCTTTGTAATCTCTGTACTTGAGCTGAAGCATACTTAGAACAGTCGTGTGTGAACTTTCAAGCATCTATTTTATTTTCAAATTTCTTACTCCCATAAAGGAAGAAAAAGAGACTAAATGCCTAAAAACTAATCAAGTTAGTGAAACATAATTATTTTTCAAGGCAGAAAATAAGCTTATTAGAGGCAGGGGAAAAAAAGAAAGAAAGAAAAAAGAGTAAACACCATGTGCTAATCAGACAAAGTAGTTCCATACATTAAAAAAACATTTATGTTGTAGAACACCAGAAAACTGTCTCACTTCATATTGACCTAAATGTACCAGCATTCAATCAATTCAATACTTCAATAACAAACCATCCCAAAAATCAAATCCTGAAAAGAAGCTGATGAGTGAAACGAGTAGATCGTTTGCAGCTGGAGATGACTGTATCTATAAATCATAGCTATGGAATTCTAGCTGGCTGAACTTCCATATTGTAACGTTTTCACTATAAAAACCTTTCTTCTTTCAGGATATGTGAAAGTAGTTTGATTTGGGTCCGGTTTTCACTAGAGGGATGGAAGGGTGTCACAGACACAGCATTGGTTAGTACCCATAGCAGTATTGTCAATAGAAGAGCCTCCACAAACGTCTTGTTTTCAACCCCTGCACGTTCTCCTGGTAATGCCACGTTGGGTGCCACCAGAGCACACCGTGGCACTTTACACTGGTGCCACCTAATACGATATTAGCCAGGGAATGTTTGATTTAGATTATCATACCAAGTACTACCCACAAAGTAATCACGAAGGCATAGTCCACTCATTACAAGGATTGGGTGTTCCCCCCCCATGCATTAATTTCAACTGAAACAGCAGCTCTTTTACAGTCATACATAATTGCACGCAGATGTTTGGCTTCGAGCTGTCCACCATCCCAACAGTCAGGGGAACGTTCAAATCCTTGGAATTTCAAAAAGCCCCTACTGCACAGAAAGCTGATTTTACCTCTGTTCAGTGTGACCACGTATCAGCTTGTTGCTTTTCACATCCCTCCTTAGTAGCTTTAAAAGGGCCAGGAAAGAAGCAAAGCCAAACCCATCTGCACCAGCTTTTCAGGTGTTCTGCCCTGTAGCTCCACCACTGACAGTTTGCAGCCCCTGCCAGGAGTCCCACAGTCTGCAGACCAGAAACCCAGGCCTTCCTGTACTTCTAAAGGGTCCACTAACAGTACAATACTTCATGATGAGCCACCAACCTGTGGCTCACCAGACCTTCCTATATGGACTAACTCAGTGGCTTACAAGTTTCACCTGTCAACCATTACACTCATGTTGTTTGTTCTTTCCTCAACAGAGGGAGGTATCATACAATTTGTGGCAGGTGTGTTGTATTAACACATTTGTGAAGGCAGGGACCACAACAGAAAAGATTAAATGTATAATGTACAATTAAGTTCAGATAATATTACTCAGTGAAAAAACAATCGCTTCAAGAAATATATTTCTCTAGATCATTGGTGATAGGCAAGACTTCATTATCTGCTGGTGTTTAGCGTCCTGCTGACCATGTCAATAGGACCCACTGGTGCCTTTCTGACCCAAAACACACAGCTGTGTTTTTGAGCACCTCAAAGTAACTGGGAGACAGTTGTTACTGGAAGATAGTTGCCACTCTTCTTAAAATCATAGAATGGGTTGGGTTGGAAGGCCCCTTAAAGATCATCCAGTTGCAACCACCCTGCCCTGGGCAGGGACGCCTCCCACCAGACCAGGTTGCGCAAAGCCCCATCCAGCCTGGCCTTGAACCCCTCCAGGGATGGGGCAGCCACAGCTTCTCTGAGCAACCTCTTCCAGTGTCTTACCCCCCTCACAGGAAAGAATTTCTTCCTGAGATCTAATCTAAATCTCCCCTCTTTCAATTTAAAACCATTACCCCTCATCCTATTGCTCCACTCCCTGATAAAGAGTCCCTCTCCAGCTCTCCTGCAGGCTCCCTTCAGATATTGGAAGGCTGCTACAAGGTCTCCCTGGAGCCTTCTCTTCTCCAGGCTGAACAACCCCAGCTCTCTCAGCCTGTCTTCATAGCAGAGGTGCTCCAGCCCTCTGATCATCTTCGTGGCCCTCCTCTGGACCCAAACCAATGGGTCCATGTCTTGCACTGGACAGGTTTCTTTTTTCCTTTATTGGGCCTTTCATGGCATGTGATGAATGGCTAGATCTCACTGCGTCGAGGACATGGCCAAGGGCAGCCATGGCCATGTCTTGGTGGCCGTCCTGTGGGCGGTGTGGCTCTGGGGACAAACCCCGGGCAACCATCTGGAACCAGGAAGGGTGCAATTAAGCCCAGCTCCTACCTGCATCCATTTCAGCTGGCTGTGGCTGCCAGGGCAATGCACAGGCGAGCGGCCAGCCCCGGGGAGGGGTTTGGGGGACGCTGGGCAGAGGGGTGACATGGCTCGGCGGCGGGAGCTGCTGCCCGGCACCTGCCCCAGCCCATCTCCCGGCCTCCCCCGTGACCGCCGGGGGCTGGCAGCACCCCAACCCACGGCACCGTGCCTCCGGCCGGGGGGGAGCGGGGTCTGTCCCCGGCTCCCGGCATGTCTGAGGCGGAGGCGCTGGGCACCCCGGAACCTGGAGGCACTGGGGCATGCAGGGGGGACGTCCCCTCCCTTAAAGAAATCGAGCAGCTCCTGAACACCGGGCGGCCTTCTTGCAACCACGTTGATGAAGTATGGCCTAATCTCTTTTTAGGAGACCTGTGAGTACAGCTTTACCGACACTGTATCTATTATTATGCCTCATGGGTGCGGCTTCAGACAGCTCATAGTTTTGCTAATTGCTGTCCTTTACACTGCAGACAGCGCAGTTTCTGAGATAAAATTATGACTAAGCCGGTACTTGCTTCTGGGTTAGCCCTTGGAAGGGATGCACGGGGCTGAGGCTCCGGCCAGTGGGTTGGGAGATGGAATCGCGGCGCTTGTCCTGCTCCCTGGATATCTCTGCGCCCATCTCCATTGGTTTGTGCTTGTCTTTTCCTCAGAGTAACAGCTCACAACAGATTTATTTTGTGGAAGATGGGTGTGACCCATGTGTTAAACGCTGCCCATGGCACAGCCTACAGCCACGGAGGCCAGGACTTTTACGGAGCGACCATTGATTACTATGGTGTCCCAGCCCATGACCTCCCGAGCTTTGATATAAGCCAGTTCTTTTTCCCTGCAGCACAGTTTATCCACAACGCCTTGAACACACCAGGAGGTATGAAGTTATTGTTGGTTC